TAGTTTTATCAAATGTGCTTTCTCCATCTATTGACATGACAGCACTTTCTCCCTATTTTAAAAAATTCTGCTAATGTTGTGAATTACACTGATGGAATTTTAAAATGTTAAACTGTCCTTTTATTCCTGGAATAAACCTCTCTTGGCTGTGATGCATCACATTTTTTTTTAATATCCCTGGAATCCTGTTTACTGATATTTTGTCAGGATTTTTACATCTACATTCAAAAGAGACACTAGCCTGTAATTTTTCATTTTTGTAATGCCTTTTTTAGGTTTGGTAAGAATGTTTTACTGATCTTAAAAAACTGAGATCAGAAGTCCTCTCTTTTTCTATTCTTTGAGTATTTGTAAATTCAGTATTATTTTTTCCTTAAATATTTTGAAGAATTCACCATTAAAGCCATATGGGTCTGCTGTTTTTTTGTGGGAAAATTTGGAAGTAATTTGTGTCAGCACATCAAATTTTAGTCACTATAGGTAATGTCCTTGTTCAAGAGAAATATTATTATAGCTTGAGATGAGTTTAAAGTTTATATAAAATAATAAATTATAGGTATGCCTTTGTATTGGGCTTCCCTGGTGGCTCAGATGGTAAAGAATCTGCTTACAATGTAGGAGACCCAAGNATAGCTTGAGATGAGTTTAAAGTTTATATAAAATAATAAATTATAGGTATGCCTTTGTATTGGGCTTCCCTGGTGGCTCAGATGGTAAAGAATCTGCTTACAATGTAGGAGACCCAAGTTTGATCCCTGGGTCAGGAAGATCCCCTGGAGAAAGAAAGCACTACTCATTACAGTATTCTTGCCTGGAGAATTCCATGGACAGAGGAGCCTGGCAGGCTACAGTCCATGGGGTCATAAAGAGTTGGACATGACTGAGAGACTAACAAACACAAAAGTCATATCTTCATACTAAGAAAATAAAAAAAAAAACTAGTTATCTTCAAATTATTGGTTTTTGCTTCATATATTTTGAAGCTCTGTTATTAAGAGCATAAATATAATAGGATAATTAGGATGTAAAAATTAGGATTTTTATGTCTTGTTCATAAATTGACCCCTTTATCATTATGAAATGGTACTCTATCTCTGGTAACATCATTTGCTCTGAAATCTAACTTGTCTGATGGTAATGTAACCACTCTAGTTTTTACTGATTAGTGTTAGTGTGGTATACTTTTTGCCACCTGTTTAGTTTTTGCCTATTTGTTTATATTCTGAATGTGTTTCTGATAGGTGACCTATAGTGGGGTCTTGCTTTTTAACTAATCTAATGATATCTGCCTTTTAATTAAGTGTGTTTGGACCACTCAGATTATGTTTAATATGATTGCTGCTATGGTTGGATTTGAATCTGTGTGCATGCGTGCTAAGTCACTTCAGTCGTGTCTGACTGTGCGACCCTGTGGTCTGTAGCCCCCAAGCTCCTCTGTCCATGGGATTCTCCAGGCAAGACCGCTGGAGTGGGCTGCCATGCCCTCCTCCAGGGGACCTTCCCGACCCAGGGACTGAACCTGTGTCTCTTACACCTTCCTGCACTGGCAGGTGGGTTCTTTACTGCTAGTGCCACCTGGGAAGCCCTGGATTTGAGGCTACCATCTTGCTATTTGTTTTCTATTTGTCATGTCTGGCTTTTGTTCTCTTTTTCTGCCTTCTTTTGGATTAACTGATTTTTAAATTCCATGTTGAGGGGGCTTACTTATTACAATTCTGTTGTATTTAGAGTATACATGTTTAACCTGTCCCAATCTATCTTCAAGTGATAATACTTTACATATAAGAACCCAACAAGTGTATACTTCATTACCTCTCTTCTTGCCTCTGTGCTATTGTGCTATACATTTTACTTTCATATATTTTATAAACCTAAAATATATTATTATCTTTGCTGTAGATAGTCAATTTCCTTTCTAAAAAAGTATGAGTCTCTTAAATCATGCAGAAAACTAAAAACTGAAATCACAAACCGTTGTTACAATAGTAATGCATGACTGCCTGCGTGCTAAGTTGTTCAGTCACGTCCGACTCTTTGAGACCCTATAGACTGTAGCCTACAAGGCTCCTCTGTCCATAGGATTCTCCAGGCAGGAATGCTGGAGTGGGTTGCCGTGCCTTCCTCCAGGGGATCTTAACTCAGGAATCGAACCCACATCTCTTAAGTCTCTTTCATTGGCAGGTGAGTTCTTTGCCACTAGCTCCACAAGGGGATTTCCACTCCCTCATTTTTTAAAAGCCCTTTTATTGGAGTAGAGTTGATTTACAATGTGGTGTTGGTCTCGGGTATACAGCAGAGTGAACAAGTTATACACACGCTCTTACTTTTGTTTTTAAATTCTTTTCCATGCAGGCATACAGAGTATAGAGTTCCCTGTGCTACCCACCAGGTTCTTGTTAGTTATCCCTTCTATATATGGTGTGTATATGTCAATCCCAATCTCCCAGTTTATCCCTCCATCCCCTTATCTCCTGGTAACCATAGTTTATTTTCTACATCCATGACTCTGCTTCTGTTTTATAAATAAGTTCATTTGCATTCTTTTTTTTAAAGATTCCACATATAAGTGATATCTCATGATACTTGTCTTTCTATATCTGATTAACCTGCAGTACTAATTCCAAGTTTAGTATGTTTGGAAGCCAAAATTTTTTTCTCATTTAACTTTTCCCATTGTTTCTTATTTATTCTTTTAATTTTTGGCTCTACTGGATCTTAGTTGGCTTCCTGCTGGATCTTCATTGCATTGTGCCGTCTTCTCTCTAGTTTCAGCATGCAGCCTTAATAGCCCTGAAGCATGTGGGATCTTAGTTCCTTGACCAAGAATGGAACCTATGCCCTCTGCATTGGATGGTGGATTCTTAACCACTGGATGACCAGGGAAGTCCCTCCTATTGTTTCCTTAAGCGTATTGGAATTTCCTCTATTATCTTTATTCCTGTCTTATGAGTGAAAAACTGAAGCTCTCAAGTAGTAACATTTTCTCAGTCACACAAATTATTTATGCTAACATCAGGTATGAACTCAGGTCTTCAACTGCTGAAATTTTTATTTTTTCTTATTTGAAATGGGGAAAAAACATGCAAAATGTTTATAAGAATGACAGGTCAGATGAGTACGGCATAAATATTAACTTGCATCCATTAATAAATAATGTTATATACATAGGTATCATTATCATTTTTATTATTCATTGAGGTCACATTTATTAAACATGGGAAAGTTCTATTGTATGACTTTTATCCTGCAGGTGCATCAGGTAGAATGGTGATAGTGTGCTATCTATTACTTGACATGTTTTTGTTTTTTAATCATCTGACTTGAGTTTTCCTACATTTCTTCCTTGGGAGATCATTCCATAGCTTAGTCTCAAAGTATTCTCGTTTGTAATATTATTTAATTTATCTTTCTTCAGTTGTGTTACATCTTTGCCATTTTGCCTGTCAAATGTTTATAGACAGCTGTCACTCCCAATGACATAAATCATTCTGGGGTCAATCTTCCCAAGACTTGCTCTGATGCTTTTAGTTATTGGGTGGCTTTCTTTCATCTCTCTCAGAAATTTCTCTGATTGCAGTTGACCCTTGAACAATGGGAGGGGGTGAGGTTTGGAGTGCCAACCCTCCCCACAGTGGAACCACCCCCCCAACTTTACAGTCAAGTATCCCTTATGCCCCTCTACCCCCGCCCTGATATCTGCTATTCCATATCGTGGCTTCAGCTATTCCAGGATCTGTACTATAGCATATATATTTAGTGAAAAAAATCTGCACACAAGAGGACCCGGGCAGTTCAGATTTGCGCTGTTTGAGACTCAACTGAATAGTTTCCATCTGACATATAGTTTCTTTATGCCACATAATGAAATACCAACTCCATTTTAATATTGAAGAAAATAATCGTCTATGTGAGTGATCACGTCATCTTATCCCAAAGCCTTCAGGAGCCATCTACACCTTCCAAGTAAATCCCAAACCTCTGTGCTAAGCATTCAGAACAGTCATCTCAGAAGTAACCTCCCCCTCCTTGTCCTGCTATTACATTCTCTTCCTATCTCAGATATGGGAGTTAACATGGAGAAGTCACCCAGTGCGAAGCCCCTGATCTCAGCAGCTAGAGGAAGCAGCACTTAGCCACCGAGACCCAGCACAGTCGAAAAGAAAAAGTTAGTTCAGGAATGTTCGCAGCAACATTATTCCGAATAGGTCCAAACGGAAACAGTTCATGTCTTCCTCAACAGTGGAATGGATACATAAAGTGTGCAATAGTCACACAAAGGGATAACGTGCAACAGTGAAAATGAACAAAATGCTACTGCAGAAATCACAGAGGAATCTCACAATGTGTACTGACAGAGCCACACACCGAAGCATACACACTGTATGCTTCTAAAAGTTCAAATACAGGTAAAACTAATTGATGGTATTTGTGGGAATAATGCCGGGAGGGGGAATGAGGTGCATTTCTGTGGTAATGGTGGAGTTCCATTTCTTGACCTGAATGGGGTTTACATGGGTGTGCTTGCTTTGTGATAATTCATTGTCAGCAGGGGAGAGAGTATGCAGGAGGAGATTCATTAAGTGTAGAAGGAAGGAGAAGTTGACTGTAATGAAAAAAAGTCGACTCCCTCCGCAGTCCTCCTGCCCTCCATTTCCTAGGAGGGGAGTCTAGGAAAAACCAAACAGGAGACAAACAAATTCCAGCTCGCACTCAAACCCTCAAACAGACCCAGAGGCTCAAAAAGTTCATCACTTGGGACAAACGCTTATTTCCAGATTTGTCCAGGGTGATTACCAAAGCGACATGTCTCTTCGCTGCTCAGGGTAAGAAGGAAAGGAAAAAAACCCAAAGTTAAAAAACATTGTTAATTCCCAATTTCTCTCTGCCTGGAGCTCTGATTCAACCGGGCCACCTGGGACCAGACACACCTAGGGGGCTGGGCCGCGGCCCTATTCTGACTCCCTAGCAACGGAGCGAGCCTTTGTCGCGTCCTAGCAACACGCTCCTCCCTTTCTCTCGGCGGGCCCGCCCTCCCGGGGTCCCCTTACCCCAGCTCCGCACTCCGACTGACCTCTCCGTGGGCCTCCTAGAGGTCCCCAGAGCTTGGATTTGCGCTTTTTAATTCAAGTGCCGAACAGCTCTCTGAGTTCCTGTGGTGGGCACCTTTCAGGGAGAGCCAGAGTTGGGGGTGGGGGGTAGGGGACGGCAAGAAAAAAAAAAGTTTAAGAAAGAAAAAATCAAGATTTGGTAATTTTTAAGGTACGTCCAAATTTCCCAGGTTAGGGGGGCTGGAGAGTGGGACAACCACGTTTGTGTAAACTCCATCTAAAGAAGAAAAGACGCGGCATCCAGCCGACAGGGGACCGGCGATGCTGGACACCATCCTCCCTTCGCTGCAGGACGTCGGCAGGCATCTGCTGCCCACGCTGCCCTCGCTGAGCCAGGAGGGTAAGCGACAGGGGCCGGGGGCTGGGGATGAAACTTTACCTGCTTGGGGCAAAGCTAAGGGCTTCTCCCCATCCCCTGTCTCTGGAGGGCCTTGAAGGGCCCGTGCTGCCTTGTCAAGCAGCTGGTAATCACAGCCGACTCACGTTGCGTCCAAAGACTCTTTCCATTTCTTTAGCTGCGCTGGGTCTTAGTTGCCCCTTGCTAACTCACTTGCTCAGTGTGGGAGGGACTTCCTTGACCAGGGATGGAACCCAGACCACCTGCACTTGGGAGCACTGGGTCTTAAGACACTTTTTTGTTTATTGACTTCTTTAATGAGAGAAAGGGGCCAGCTGAGGACGTTTTCATTAAATGAGATAATGTACACACAGGGACTAGCGCGGAGTAAGTCTCAATAAATGCTGGCTACAAACAACCATAGCAAATGGCTCCTTCTCAGAATGCCCGCAAAGGCAAGGCTACTTTTGCTGCCCATGGTATCTCGGGGCTGTGTTAAGAGAGTGAGATCAAGGGACTGCCCTGGTGGTCCAGTGGTTAAGACTCTGGGCTTCTACAGCGAGGGGAGTGGGTGAATGTGTTCCATCCCTGGCTGGGGAAGCGAGATACCGCCTGTTGCCTGTGGCAGCCAAGAAAGTTAAAAAAAACAAAAAAAGATTAAAAAAGAGAAGTGGGTGTTTGGAAGAAGACTTGACATCTTCTGTAGAAAATTTGCTCGGCTTGGTTAGAAAGTTTCTTAGAAGAGTAACTCCAAAGTGACACTGAGATTTTTTTTTTAATTTAAATTTTTAATTTTTGGCTGCACTGGGTCTTCATTGCTTTGCCCAGGCTTTCTCTAGTTGTGGCGAGCGGGAGTTACTCTGTTGCGGTTCTCGGGTTTCTCATTGGGCTTCTCCTGTTGGAGAGCACAGGCTCTCAGCGAACCAACTTCAGTAGTTGCAGCCCGAGGGCTCCGTAGTTGTGACAACCCATGCCAGTCATTTCGCCTGGGAAATCCCAAGGACAGAGGAGCCTGGTGGGGTACAGTCCATGGGGTCACAAAAGAGTTGGACACAACTGAGCAACTCAGCAACAATGATAGTACTTAGAGGGAACCATCATCACTTTACAGATGTGAATTGGTTGGAACTATTGAAGACTACCCAGTGAGCAATCCGTGGAGGTGGGAAGGCTGTAGGTCTTCAGACACACAGCACAGTGTGGCCTTTCCCCCGCACTGTGCTCTGGGAGTATGTTTCCTTCTCTAAATCACTCTAATAATTTGCTCTGTTTGTATATCAGTATTTTAGTTTTATAAATTTAGGGGACTTTTCCTTTCGATATTAGTATCTATTTCAAGTATATATTATTCTGTAATATACATAATGGGCACTTGGTCTTTTTTTTTTATAATGATTATATATAAGATAAAGTGTTCCTACCTGGAATACATTTGGCATTGTGTTTAAAAATATCATTTTGAATGCACAAGATGTTTGGAATCTGAAATTAAATGAAGGTTGAATTGAATATGGAAGGTACATCCAGGGATGATTTCTTGTGGTTCTTGGTATTTCAGTGTTTGGTCAAAATAAATAATAACCTCAGTGTTCCTAAAAATATAAAAGTAACATATTCTTTAATTTGCTTTTTAGACTGGCTTAGAAGTATTTTTCTTTTGAGATTTAGTGATTCTTTTCCTGACACTGGAGCATGGAAAAAAATCAAAGGTAGAAATCACAGTCTGCAAGATTTCCAGGTCTGTTCCATTTGAATTACAGGGGCTTAAATCTTCCTGAAGGAAATGATGTACATGTTTTCCTTTTCCTTCAGTGAAAAACATCAAATTTCAGCTTAGAATAATAAACTCTGCTTTTCTACGGCTTTGCCCATTAGATTTTTAAGAAATTACTGTTTTATTTATTTATTTCTGACTGTGCCAGGTCTGCATCGCTCCTGGGCTCTTCTCTAGTCGCAGCGAGCGGGGGCCGCTTCCTACGGGCCGCACGGGAGCTTCTCAATGTGGTGGCTTCTCTTGATTCTGAGCACAGGCTCTAGTGTGTGCAGACGCCAGTGAAGGGAAGTGAAGTGAAGTCAAAGTTGCTCAGTCGTGTCCCACTCTAAGCGACCCCATGGACTATACAGTCCATGGAATTCTCCAGGCCAGAATGCTGGAGTAGATAGCCTTTCCCTTGTCCAGGGGATCTTCCCAACCCAGGGATCTAACCCAGGTCTCCCTCATTGCAGGCGGATTCTTTACCAGCTGAGCCACAGGGGAAGCCCACAGACTCCAGTAGTTGCAATATATGGGCTCAGTAGTTGCAGCTCCCTAGCTCTAGAACACTGGCTCAGTGGTTGTAGTCCACGGGCTTAGCTGTCCCACGGCATGTGGGATCTTCCCAGATCAGGGATTGAAACCCGGTCTCCTGCGTTGGCAAACAGATTCTTATCCTCTGTGCCACTAGGGAGGTCCCCCTCCCCCACCCCATTTGATTTTATAGGGTAAAATGACACAGTTGGACTTGAATGTATCTTTCAAATGAGGAAAGAGGATCTTCACATTTCTAATTAAGCTCAGTCAGGTCTTTTCAGTAGGGTCTGGTTGCCAGCTATACAATTTCTCCTAGCCCTAATTAAATCATTTCACTTTGGTATAGACTGTTTTCCTGAAATGTGAGCTGCATATCATGAGTCTAGGGGAAAGGCTTAACAGTTTTGACTTTGAAAAGTCTTCATGTAGGGGGTACTCTTTTGCCCCCTTCTGATGCCTATGTCAGAAGCTTTCTCTATCTCCTTTATACTTTAATAAAACTTTATTACACAAAAGCTCTGAGCGATCCAGCCTCGTCTCTGGCCCCGGATTGAATTCATCCCCTCCGGAGGCCAAGAATCCCACGTCTCATCGTTCAGCAACAACCTTTCATCTTGGGGGCTCGTCCAGGATCCTTCAGGACAAGATGGGCCTGATAATGTATGTGAGCCTACTTCTGCTGACTCCAGAAATCCTGAGTCTGCCTTTTGATCCTCAAGACAATGCCTTCCTGTCCTGGGCTCACTCCTATGCTGTATTCCACAATTGGTCTAACTGCTGGGTCTGCGGAGCACTCCTGGTGGACATCTCCACTTCAAGGAAAGGACTTTCTCCAAGTCTGCAGATACCTTCAACAATTGCATGTGATGCCTCTTCTTAAATTGATGACATCTAACAACCTTAAGATGGACTGATGTAACTATGAACATAATGTGACTTTTCATTTTGATTTTAACTTCGTTTAATGACTATTTTGCCTTACATCTATAACTGTATAATGGGGTTTTCTAACCGTCTAAAAGTTTTAAATTTACAAATAGTTGTCCTAAGGGGTACTCTTTTGCCCCCTTCTGATGCCTATGTCAGAAGCTTTCTCTATCTCCTTTATACTTTAATAAAACTTTATTACACACACAAAAAAAGAAAAGTCTTCATGTAAGTCTGGTTACTGAGAGTCTGTATCATTAGTGAATTAAATATTTTTAGTCATGATGAAAATTTGAATTCAGGAAACAGTTGAGACTGTTAATTCTTAGCAGCCAGCAGCAGATAGAATTCTTTTGTCTGTAGGGGTGAGGAGGAGTGGGAAATATGGTAGAATGGGACAGACTAGAAGGAATACTTGAGTATATTTAATTAACTGTATATCCATGATTTAGAGTGAAGGGCAGAATTGGCATCCAGCTCACTGTAACATGCAGCCCTAGTTTTCTTGGTGAGTGAGTTTCCATCACCCAACTTGTTCCTCGAGGCTTATGAGAGTCACTTCCATCCGTGCATGCATGCTCTGTCGTGTCCGACTCTGGACTGTAGTCCGCCGGGCTCCTCTGTCTATAGGATTTTTCAGCAAGAATACTGGAGTGGGTTACCATTTCCTCCTCCAGGGAATCTTCCCGACCCAGGGTTTGAAAGGCTGTTGCTGAGCCGTGAATGACGCTGGGATTCTTGGCCTCTGGAGGAGAGGAGTCCAATCTGGGGCCAGTGACGAGGCTTGACCGCTCAGAGCTTTCCTGTAATAAAGTTTTGTTAAGGTATACAAGAGATAGAGAAAGCTTCTGACATAGACATCAGAAGGGGCAGAAAGAGTGCCCCCTNCCCCGCCGCCCCCCGCTAGTCTTTAGCTGGGTGTTATATAGCTACCAGCAGGCTGCTAATTAGAGAAAGGAATGTCTGAAAACTGGCACCAGGCCCCTCACCCACAACATGCATTTTGAGATAACATTGGCTCAAGGTGAGTCAGCCCAGTCAATAAAATGATTGACATGAATCTTGAAGAAAGGCAGGTTTCCAAGTAAATGTACAGTTTCATTAACAGATCAGGAGAACAATGTATGAGTAAAACATACTGGTTTGTTGAGCCCTTATCAATTCTGAGTCTTAAGCAGAACTGACTTGGATAAAGACAGAGTCTAGAGTAAATACATAGTTCATTAACACAGCTAAAGAAAAATATTTCCATAAGAAAAACACATTGATTAGCTGAAGGTTTGAGAAAAGTTAAGTTCAGGTGGAACTAGGTGTCATCAGGGCAACACAGAATTTTAAGAGAAACCTCCTTTTTGTATAGAGGAGGGAAAAAACTCTGACACTTGTTTGTTTCCTCCTGCTGCTTAAGAGAGAGATCAAAAGCGTCTGACGCTTGCAGCCTGTTTCCTCTGTTTGGAGACCCCTGGCCTTCCTGCCTGTTACCCTCTCAGGATCAAACTGGTGTCTCCTGGGTCTCCTGCATCGCAGGTGGATTCTTCACCTGCTGAGCCATCACAGAAGCCCTTCAGAGTCACTGCTACTTCTCGCTGCCTGTCCTGTTTATTCTCTGGCATATTAATAAAAACATTTATAACCCTGATATACCGGATTAAATGAGTGCAATTTTCCGCTTTAGGTAGTTGTTTAAACCGTTAGGGAAAACAATTACAAGAGTAAATCAAGCAGTTTCTAAAATGGGGAAAGAATGGGTTTTTGTGCCCAACTACATCTATGCCGTGAAGTGGCAAGCTGGTATTTGCCACTGTTGTCGATCCTTTCTTTTGAGAATTAAAACACAGCACTATTTTGATTTGCAGAGAGAGTTCACTAGTGGAAAATATCTGTAATAAACTCATGACTAAGTTTGGAATGGAAATGTCAACACAGACATGGTTTTCTATAATTATGAGTATTAGTTATATCCAGAGTATTCCTTCATATCATACATTAACACTTTAGTAATTGACAACTACTTATTTTTCTACCATGGCTTTTCTTAATCATAGCTCAGAATAAGAAAATAAGCACAGAAGGCCTCCCTCTGATCAAAGTAGAGAGTGTGAAGTCTATTTCCCAATTCAAAGTAAAGCCTATTGGGCCCTTACCCAAAAGTCTGTTTTTAACAGTTATTATTTTAGACATACTGTTAGTATATTTGTTGAAATCAGGAGCACAGCTGGTCAGAAGCAGTGAATTAAGACTGGGTGGGGAGCCTGCGGAGCACTCGAAGCAGAAAGGAGTGACAGCCGGAGTCCCCTGGTGACTACGGAGACTGAAAAGCAGTCAAGAATGAAGCAAAAATAGAAGTGCAGAGACAATAATGTACAGACAATGGTCTTCATGCCTTAGTGGCCCCTGGCCTCCTTCCTGTATTATGGAATGGTGTGAGAATGAAGGTTCATGTTAATCAAATGGCACGGTGTAGACTCTTAGAAGCTCGTTGAATGGGTCATTAAGAAAAGCCTAGATTAGGGACTTCCCTGGTGGTCCAGTGGCTAAGACTCCACGTTCGCACTGCAGGGGGCCCTGGTTCCATCCCTGGTCGGGAACTAGATCCCACATACTGCAACTAAGAGTTCATAAGCCACAACTAAAAAAAGATCCTGTGTGCCACAGCTAAAGGTTCCACACTCTTCGATGAAGATTCAAGATCCCTTGTGCTGCAACTGAGATTCAGCACACCCACATAAATACATATATATATATAAAGAAAAGGCTAGATAACACTAGGTTAACTCAGATGGTTAAGAATCTGCCTGTGATGCAGGAGACCCGGGTTTGATCCCTGGGTAAGGAAGATCCCCTGGAGAAGGGAATGGCTACCCACTCCAGTATTCTTGTCTGGAGAATTCCAGAGACAGACAGGCCTAGCAGGCTACAGTTCATGGGATCACACAACTAACAACTATATTTATAGAATAAAGGGCAAGGTGTGACATTTGCCTTTATTCTAGAAAGATTTTCTCCCACTTCCCTCCTCCCTTTCTTTCTCTTTCGCCTCCTCTTTCACATTTTTGGAATTTAAAGGGAGTAAGCTTTGCTTATTAGGAAAATTAACTTTGGGAAGTGACTTTATTTTCTGTTAATTTTAATTAGAAATTACTATTTATTAATCAAATAATACAAATTATTTATTCTGTATTTCGTATTCACATTTTTGTCTACCAACACAAAGATACTATCACAGGTGTGCTTTCATAAATTATTCATACATTAAATTTTATTCACCTTGGATTTCAGAAGTTTCTACTATTTGGGGAAATGTGTCAGAATTTGTGGAACGGCAGCTATCCTTACACAAGGTAAGATGTATACTTTAATTTTAATATAGGACATCAAAGAATGTTTCCTCTTTAGTCTCCAGTAGTTTTGCTGGGAGCAAGATAGCAGATTTTAGAGCCATCCAGGGTAACCTGCAGTATTGTGATTTTATGATACTCACATTTAGGACTTGTGGTTGGTAGATTTAACAGATGTGGATTTCACCCTTAGCTAACACATGTGAAAGTTCTGCTGTTCCAGTGATAGGAATTGTATTGCTGATCAGTCCAGGTGTGTACAGAGGAAGCAGATGAGTTCTGTTCATCTGTGACCTGGTGGTTCTGGTGTGGCTATAGAAGGATATGATGCTTCTTGTCTTGCCTCCTTGCAGGATTTTAATTGAAATGTAAGAAGGCAGTCAGGGACTGAACTCTACTTGCCAAAAATGAGAACCTTTGTTCATGGCTGGGCTATTTCTTCCCATCAAATCTTGAGTTTGGATGCCATAGAGCTGAACAGAGATGTTGGGAATTTGGAGGGTGCTGGGATATTGTGAAACATTTATATTCTACTCAGAGGTCCCGATATTACAGCCTTTGATCTGAATTCATCCTTGAAATCTGTTTTGTTTGATCTGATAATTTGAATTAGTCATCAGAACTTAAAATTGGGAGAGCTTGTACAAATTTTTTTTTTTTCCTTGAAAAATCAGCCGATTAACAAAATCAGTTTTTGTTCAGTACATGTGACGCTTGGCTGAAGCTGACAAGGGTCTCTCCCCTTTAGATGGGGCATGCACTCCTTAGCCATCACATTCTCTGGCTCAGTACCTTCACTCCCTTGCATCCTTTCTTGGCTTCTGTAGCATTTGACTTTGTAACCTTTGACGTACGATGTTTCCAGGAAGACAGAGACCTAGAGTGAGAGCCAAAATCTTTTGCTTCTGTGCATCAACCAAGATCACCACACTGCAGTGCGTATCTTGGATGTTTTGGGTTGTCTGATTTTAAGTGAGGGACATTAAACCTACCATAAAGAATGAGAGGGACTTCCCTGGCGGTCCAGTGGTTAATCCTCCATGCTCCCAATGCCAGAGGCTTGGGTTCAATCCCTGTTTACGGTTCTAGATCCCACATGCCATAACTAAAAGATCCCATATGCCATAGTGAAGATCAAGACCTTGTGTGCCACAAGTAAAGATCTGGTGCAGACAAGTAAATAAATAAACGTTTTTTAAAAAATAAAGAAAATGAGGAAGCAGAAATTCTCTCCCCCTGATGGCAAGGGATTAAAATTTAAAATGTCACACGGTTTCAGTCAGTTCAGTTCAGTTGCTCAGTTGTGTCTGACTCTTTGCGACACCATGGACTGCAGCATGCCAGGCTTCCTTGTCCATCACCACCTCCCAGAGCTTACTCAAACTCATGCCCATTGAGTTGGTGATGTGGCCAAAGTATTGGAGTTTCAGCTTTAGCATCAGTCTTCCAATGAACACCCAGGACTGATCTCCTTTAGAATGGACTGGTTGGATCTCCTTGCAGTCTGAGGGACTCTCAAGGGTCTTTTCCAACATCATAGTTCAAAAGCATCAATTCTTCAGCACTCAGCTTTTTTTATATTCCAACTCTCATATCCATACATGACTACTGGAAAAATCGTAGCTTTAACTAGATGGACCTTTGTTGACAAAGTAATGTCTCTGCTTTTTAATACGCTGTCTAGGTTGGTCGTAGCTTTTCTTCCAAGGAGCAAGTGTCTTTTAATTTCATGGCTGCAGTTACCATCTGCAGTGATGTTGAAGCCCCCAAAATAAAGTCTGTCACTGTAACCCCATCTATTTGCCATGAACTGATGGGACCAGATGCCATGATCTTAAGTCTTCTGAATGTTGAGTTTTAAGCCAACTTTTTCACTCTCTTCTTTCACTTTCATCAAGAGACTCTTTAGTTCTTCTTCGCTTTTTGCCATGAGGGTAGTGTCATCTGTGTATCTGAGGTTATTGATATTTCTCCTGGTAATCTTGATTCCAGCTTGTGCTTCATCCAGCTCAGCATTTCGCATGATGTACTCTGCATATAAGTTAAATAAACAGGGTGACAGTATACAGCCTTGATGTACTCCTTTCCCTATTTGGAACCAATCTATTGTTTCATGTCTGGTTCTAACTATTGCTTCTTGACCTGCATATAGATTTCTCAGGAGGCAGGTAAGGTGGTCTGGTATTTCCATCTCTTTTTAGGACAAGAGTAATCTTAGATAAAGATTAAAAGCAGCTATGGCATCCATACATTTTAAAAATATATATATTTGTTTATTTGACTATACCAGGTCTTAGCAGTGGCATGTGGGATACTGTTCCTCCACCAGAGACAAAACCCAGGCCCCTGCACTGGGAGCACAGGGTCTCAGCCACTGGACCACCAGGGAAGTCCCCATCGATGTCTCCTCAGTCCTCATAGCCTCTGGATGATGTGGAGATGATGGGTCAGAAAAGGACTGTGGATTGAGATATTACATTTTATACTTCTTTGAAAACTTAGAGTCATGAAATACTAAAGCTGTGATGGGTCATAAAGAGCATTGAATTTTAAGGCACACACTTTAATTTCTTCATGTGCTTTGGGATAACAGTGCTAAAGATTATTTTTCTTTACATTTCAGTGAATTCTCTTTGTTGCTTTTTTTTTTTTTTTTTTTGCCCTTTGTCTTTTCAGGGAGTTCAGATTCCGGGACTTGGAACTTTCACTTTCATGAGACAAAAGCTTGAGGTGGGAAACAAGAAGTTTTTCCTAATTCAGAGGCCCGTGTTTGTCATGGCAGAGAAGTTAGTACAGATCCATGGACTGAAACAAAACAGAATATATACTCCTGGTAAATAGATTTTATTTTAAAGACTCTCCCAGAATGTGACTAGCCTGGGGATGAAAATGAAAGGGCAATGCTTGGCCATTGTTGCTTTACTGGTTTCTGCTTTGAGAAGCTCTCTCTTCATGTAGTACCTTTGTCAGAGGGAGGGCTGGGGTAGGGAATAATATACAATCTTCTTGCAGGTCATTTTCAACCTCAGTAGCTCAAGGCCGGATGTGACATCAAGGCAAATTTATATAAAAGCCACAGCACTGAGTCATAAGATTTTTATTCATATTTCAGATCTAAGAAATTAAAAGTGGTTGTAAAGAAGAGAAAGTTAATTAGGGTCACTGGTTGGAAGAATCACAGTTAATATCAACTGGGAAAAGATCAACGGTGTTTCTATTGTATATCATCTAAATCATTGAAATTTAAAAGTTGTTAGAAGGTTAATAATTCTGTAAAGACTTAATACCTTATACACCTCTCACATCCTAAAATCTTCCTTCTTTCCTTCGCTTCCTTATTCCCTCCCTCCCTCCTTGTTTTCCCTCCTTCCTTCTTCCCTTCCACGAATATTAACTGAGGGCCAAGGACATGGCATGCCTTGTCCCAGGTGCTAGAGACATGAGAGGCGACATGACACCTTCCCCAGGATACTTGCATTCCAGTTTCAGGATGTGGCTTTGTGTGATACCTGCTCTGATTACTTGGGGTGGGGCGGGGTTCCCTCCTAATTTTTGGTTGTGTTCCTTTTGACTTTCCTTATCATGCCCTCCTGCATCAGGCTTATATCTGGATTAAAAGAGTTCGTCTACCCCCAATACTGACAAGGTGAAAAGTCTGGAACTTGCCTTTATGTTAACATCTCTGAAAGTTAATTTGTAGAGTAGATTTCTACTGAAAATGATATATTGGAAAAACAAATACCAACAAGCTATATTTAGAATTTTATGCCTGTATTCTATATGGTAAATTTGATGAATTTTTCAACCATTGAAAAATTTATTTATTTATTTTTGACTGCACTGGGTCTTCATTGCTTTGTGTGGGCTTTCTCTTTCAACAAAAGAAAATGAAAAGCTTGTCTGGAGCACTGTTTAGAAAGCTAATTGTTCTTGTTCTGAGCAAAAACATTCTACTTTTAGGGAAAATTTAATTGAGCATTATCTATTAATAGAGTACAACTAAAGGGTTCACAGGTACAGTTCTAAGTATTAAGTGAGAATCAAGTGATTATTTGTGAGTGTGTATGATATGTCTTTGTTATAATCTCTAATTCTTTCCTCTCACCCCAACTGTCTTTTCTCCTCTAGGTGATATCCCAATAGTTCCACTTAATTTTGTCATGATATCCTTGGAGGGTCCATTTAGCAGAGATATAGTGGAAGGATGTGTGAAGGAGACGCTGCTTTTTTTATCACGATCCATTTCCATCAAACAAAACGTGGAGTTTACATTCAAAGGAATCGGGGTCCTCGTGATCAAAGACAGTAAAGTCAAGATGAGATTCTATAAGGACTTCCTTTGTACAATGGATGGAAGCGGGGCTTTGGCGAAAGCCCTAGCAAATGTAAATTAATGTTTTCCTTCTCCTAACCCCTTTCTGAAGCTCTAAATGTGTGATCTTTAAGACTGACAAGGGCTTCCCTGGTGGCTCAGTGGTGAAGAATCTGCCTGCCAATGCAGGAGATGCAGGTTCAATCCCTGGGTTGGGAAGATCCCCTGCAGGAGGAGATGGCAACCCACTCCAGTATTCTTACCTGGAAAATCCCATCGACAGAGGGACCTGGTGGGGTACAGTCCAGGGGGTCGTAAAGAGTCAGACAGGACTTAGCGACTAAAGCAACAACAGCAACAAGGCTGACATATTTTAAATGGCAGTTACCCCAAGTCAAAGAAGGGCTTGTTTATGGATGATTAACTCTTTGACAAAAGTGTTAGAATGGTTAAGGAACCAAGTTTTGTGTCAGTGCCTACTGAAAAATTATAAACAGTAGTAGAAACTTGTAATTATGATCCTTTTATAAGATAGTACCTTATAGTTTAAAAAGTTTTTTCTACATATATTATTTCACTTGAGTCACAAAACATTATAAAACCAGAATTATTATCCTGATTTTACCAGTGAGAAAAATGGGGTTCAAAGAGGATGTGTGGGAAGCTGAAGTCTGGGAGTTCAGCAGTGGAACTGAAATTTAAGCCAAGACTTCCTAATTACTCTTTTTGTGCTGATTACACTATTTTATTTTAATGAAAGTCTACAGAAAAATCTAATTCAAGTCATAGAAATGTATACTCAGCTTTTAATTTGCATCGCTTAGAAGAAATTTCATAGTTGGCCCCTCACCGTTAACTGTTACAGCTGGCATGACCTTCGTGCTCAGTTGGACACTGCAGACTTTCAGGAGGCAGTGAAACAATCATTCAAAGGGCTAGCTGAAACTTTTTTTTAAACCTTTTATTTTGTATTGGGGTATAGCTGATTGGCAATGTTGTGATAGTTTCAGGTGAACACCGAAGGGACTCAGCCATACATACACATGTATCCATTCTCCTCCAAACTCCCCTCCCATCCAGGCTGCCACATAGCATTGAGCAGAGTTCTAGGTGCTATCTATACAAGCACCTTGTTGAGAACTAACTGAATCTGAATGTACTAACTTGGTATGGATGAATTGGATTATCATGAATGTGATATAATCTTGTGACCATAAGAACAAAAGCCTGACTTTCTTTTTTAAATGAAAAAGCTATGAAAGGAAATGTTGTAAATACGGTTTAATTCTCCCTTCTAATTTCTCCTTTTGCGGTGCTCTGGGTTGGGGGTTTAGGAGATGGAGTCATGCATACTTAGGCCCTTGGTGTTTTGTCCACATCCTGGCTTCATGCAGGATGGCTCAGAGGGACGCCAACCCTGTGTGTGCAGAGTGGAGACAGATATACATGAGTATCACCTTCTCGTTTTCATTAAAACACAGGCAGGATTTGCAAAATCAGAAACAAGGGCAAAGTACTGTTCCCTCTCTCACCCTCAAGGATTCTGCAGAACTTTGCAAGCTTCGATACATATTTAAAAGACAGGATAATGCTTTAATTGGCCTGCTGTACTCTAAGATGTACCTTTTAAGGAGAGGTTTCCAAAAGAACTGCTCTTGATGGATATCCTATAAAAAAAGCTCTATAGGCCAAAGCACATAGGTATGTTAAAGGACCTGAGAAGTCTGGCTGGAAAGAAGTGGCTTTAACTGCCTGAAAGTATTTAATCATGGAACTTTAGGTCGAGTCATTATTCATTAATGCCTGTAAAACACATTTCAGGAAACTTCTGTAAAGTTGTGAGAGTGACTGATTTTCCCCTAAATGTTCCATAATGAAAACCTGAGTGCTGTTTTGTAGAAGAGTTCTCTTAGGAGGTTGTGTGCTAGTTTCAGTGATGCTGCTTTAGCTCAAAATATTTTTAAAACTTCGATCTTTAGAATCTCCTTCAAAGCCTTTTGTAAACCAGATCATTAATCCAAAAAGAATAATTTTACATGTTATTCTATACTAGTATAATTTAATAATGTGATTATTAGACACAATATAAAATTATTAAATATTTTATAAATTATATTATAAACATAATTTATAGGTTACAATAAATATATATTATATATAATAATTGTAATGGTCACTATTTGTGGAGTGCTTTTATGTTTTAGCCACTTATATATAGTACCCCCTAAAAGTCCTGTGAATTTGATCCCACATATCTAGGGTCTAAAGCTTTACAGCTGTTGTTGTTCATTCCCTCAGTTGTGTCTGACTCTTTGAGATCCCATGGACTGCAGCACGCCAGGCTTCCCTGTCCTTCACTATCTTCCGGAGCTTGCTCAAACTCATGTCCCTTGAGTCGGTGATGCCACCCAACCATCTCATCCTCTGTCACTCCTTTCTCCTTTTGCCCTCAGTCTTTCCCAGCATCAGAGCTTTTCCAGTGAGTCAGCTCTTTGCATCAGCTGGCCAAAGTATTGGAGGTTCAGCATCAGTCCTTCCAAAGAATATTCAGGGTTGGTTTCCTTTAGGATTGACTGGTTTGATCTTCTTGCTGTTAGCAGTGTGGGGATTTAAACACGAGGATGGCTGACTCCAAAGTCCTTCTCTCAACTACCCAGTTTTAGAGTTATTTGGGTCAAGAGTGGAACTAGCCAGCTTGCTCATATTCCTGAGAGTTTCAAGAAGTTGGCTGTCCTCTTAAAGATGAGGATGCTGTCAACCCTGAGGGCAGTTTCCAAGGAGGAAATGGTTTGAGAAAAAAGGCAGCATCAATGAAATTGGAATGGGAACAAGCAAGGTGACTTCTTTGATAAATGAGATCATTCTTCATTGGATGTTAAGCTCTAGACTTTAAGCCCTAAGCAGAAAATAACAATGGAGAGTATCATGGTCTCCTGAGGCCTTCAAGCGGCCTGTGGCTCTGATTGCCTGTGTCCTGGACCACAGCCCAGTATCACCTGTCTTTCTCTCTGTCCCCAGAGGCCTAACACGGTGGATTCGGTGTTGTCCAGCAGAGAGAACTTGGGGAAGCGACCCAACAGCGTGCTTGCGTTTCCAAGGTCAGTGCTTTCCTCCATAGGTTCCTCCGGGCGTGGCCATCCTTGCCGACCTGTTGATGGAATTGGACAGTGTTTCACACCTGAGTTTTCTAGCTCATGCTCCATCTAGTGCAGCTCTCTCTTGCTCACTCTCTCTCTCAGTGTTCCAGCAAATGAGTTTATTGTGTGCACTTTCTGTAGTTAAGTTAAAAAACAGCAGACACTTAGAATACTCTTTTTTTTAAAAAAAAACTACGCTTGGTTACCTGGGAATTCTCTTACTGCCTCCCACCAACCTTAGTCCTTGCTTGTATCAGTAAAATCTTTCTCATCCACTAGGCTTTCTTCTACCTTTCAACCCTTCCTCTGACCTAGTCCCTTCCCCATCATGCACTCCAGGCTAACAGCTGCTGAAGATTTGATTTTTACCATGGAAGGGGCTAGAAAGACAAGGTATAGCTTCACCCCAACAGCATAGTGAGCATCTCCAATGGCTGCAGATGCTGCTGATTATAATAATGATAATGATAACAATGATAATAATACAATAATAATAGCAATCATCTATGGAGCACTTAGGAGAAGGCAATGGCACCCCACTCCAGTACTCTTGCCTGGAAAATCCCATGGATAGAGGAGCCTGGTAGGGTGCAGTCCATGGGGTCGCTAAGAGTCGGGCACAACTGAGCGACTTCACTTTCACTTTTCACTTTCATGCATTGGAGAAGGAAATGGCAACCCACTCCAGTATTCTTGCCTGGAGAATCCCAGGGACAGAGGAGCCTGGTGGGCTGCCGTCTCTGGGGTCGCACAGAGTTGGACACGATTGAAGCGACTTAGCAGCAGCAGCAGCAGCAGCATGGAGCACTTAGGAGATCCAACCAGTCCATCCTCAAGGAGATCAGTCCCGGGTGCTCATTGGAAGGACTGATGCTGAAGCTGAAACTCCAGTACTTTGGCCACATCATGCGAAGAGTTGACTCATTGGAAAAGACCCTGATGCTGGGAGGGATTGGGGGCAGGAGGAGAAGGGGATGACAGAAGATGAGATGGCTAGATGGCATCACCGACTCGATGGACATGAGTTTGAGTAAACTCCGGGAGTTGGTGATGGACAGGGAGGCCTGGCGTGCTGCAATTCATGGGGTCGCAAAGAGTCGGACACGACTGAGCGACTGAACTGAACTGAACTGATGGAGCACTACTAGTTGCCAGATATTGTTAAGCACTTTCTTAATAGTCTTGCATTTAATCTTTACTACAACCACTTGAGATATGTATTATAATTTTATAAAGGAGCAAAATTAATTTTAATTTTAATTAAAAATTTTATTGAAGTATAGTTCATTTGCAATGTTGTGTTAGTTTTAGGCATTCAGCATATAGTTTTCTTTTTTTTTTTTTAAAAGTGAGGATCACTTCAGTTAGTTCAGTTGCTCAGTCATGTCCAACTCTTTGCGACCCTATGGACTGTAGCACGCCAGGCCTCCCTGTCCATCACCAACTCCCAGAGTTTACTCAAACTCATGTCCATTGAGCCAGTGATGCCATCCAACCATCTCATCCTCTGTCATCCCCTTCTCCTCCTGCCTTCAATCTTTCCCAGCATCAGGGTCTTTTCAAATGAGTCATTTCTTTGCATCAGGTGGACAAAGTATTGGAGTTTCACTTCAGCATCAGTCCTTCCAATCAATATTCAGGACTCATTTCCTTTAGGATGGACTGGTTGGATCTCTGCTGTCCAAGGGACTCTCAAGAGTCTTCTCCAACACCATAGTTCAAAAGCATCAATTCTTCATCTCTCAGCTTTCTTTATAGTCCAACTCTCACATCAATACATGACTACTGGAAAAACCATAGATTTGACTAGGTGGACATTTGTTGGCAAAGTAATGTCTCTGCTTTTCAATATGCTGTCTAGGTTGGTCATAACTTTTCTTCCAAGGAGCAAGCGTCTTTTAATTTCATAGCTGCAGTCACATCTGCAGTTTCAGGATGCAGTATTAAAAGCACTGCAGTAAGAGTCAGGAGACTTGGGTTTTATTTCCAGTTTGGTTTTATTTCCATTATGAGCTCTTAATCATATTTTTAATCTTAATTGCTGTGCCACTAACTACTATGCATTTTGGGTAAAGGAAGTTTGGGAAATAGTAACCAGTGTCTCAGTATTTTCTCATTTTTCGGGGGGGAGGTCTGTGACATCCTCTTCCATTTGTTGGTTTGGAACCAGTCCTTCCTGTAAAAGCTATATGATACAGACCTCAGCATAATCAGCGTGAGTGGGAGAATAAACCTTAAAGACTAATTAGTCCAGCCTCTTCATCTTCCAGATGAAATGATTATACAGCAGGGGAGCCAAGTCAGAAATAAAATCGTGGCCCCAGACTGTCTCAGTACTGTTTCCACTGCAGCATGTTGCCTTACCCATTAAAAATAAATCCATGGATTCAAAATAATTTTGATTGTATTTTGGGAGGCAAATTTGGCTGTCCCCTTGGACATAGTTTGGCTTAAGCACTCCAGGAGGGAAATAATTGCAGTTAGTTAAGGGACAGATGGACCGTTCTGTCCATTGGAGAGCCTGGCAATGGACCGGAGGACTTGAATCCTCAACACAACTGTAGGTGTTTCCTTTATGTGAAGCTTGATCTCTGAATTCACTGCAAGCACCATGCCTGTCCCACCCTTCCTTCCCACCACTAACCCAGCACCCCATTCCTGGGACTGGAGAAAAGCTGCGCTTACTCACATCAACTGAACAAACCCTTCCCCCTCGCCTTTGTAGGCCCCCCACTTTTGCCTGGGAGAGGATGGAGCAGTGAGGAGGAGAAAGAGGGAGGAGAGGCGTGCTCACTTCTGGGCATACCCTGCCTACCAGGCCCTGAATCCATGCCTCCAAGTTATCCGGTGGCCACCATCCACTATTTCAGGACCGTGGCATCTGCTTACAGAGCTAGAAAGACAAATTCAAACTGAAGTAAAACCCAGAAACTTTAATCCAGGCCTTCAGAGCAGTTTAAATAAGAGCTTCTTTGGGGTCCTCAGTATAGTGGGGGGAGTGTCTTGGTTGGCTCCCAGGCTTAACCCCAAAAAGAATGAGTCTGTGATTCGTACTCAGAGAATAAAAGCACTTCCCCCCTCTTGAGACACGTAAGCTTATTTCATTCAGAATCCGTCAGCTCACTTGGCTGCTTCTCAGAATTAAGAGATTTACACATTCGCCTACGGCACGTCTTGGCTCATTCCCAGGATTGAGCTCAAGGAGATGGAGAACAAACCACCTATGGAGACCATTGCAGAAGAAGATGGACAGAATGGACAAAGGAAGGACAAATTAAAAGACCAGTCAGACAAAGAAGAAGGTGTCCCAGGTAGGTCATTGATTTCTGGGTATAATCTGTGACTCTACTACTTGTGAGCCACGCCATGTTGCTTAGCAACTCTGATGGCCAAAATAAAGTTCATTTCATGAATAATCACTGTATTCTTCTCTCTAACAAACATCTTCTATTCCTGGAATCCTGTATCTCACCCTAACCACTCTATGACACTCAGACTTAAAGACTATGATCTCTTTGCTGACTCCCCACTACTCAAAACTCAGCTGCCTGCAAGATCCAGGCAGGTAACATAAATACATGAACTGGGCTGGATGTTACATGGTAGGGAGACAGACATGTTAGCATCAATATTTTTTATGAAAAATGAAGAGTGGTAGTTTTACATCTTTGACACCTGGATTTATAGGAGAGAGCAGATTCTCATTATCTGTCTCATCATATAATCTGTTGTAATATATTGTTTTGGTTGAGGCATGTGAGGAAAATCCTAGGACTTCAAAGACTTTTTGAAAGACTCCTAGGGATTCCCAGGGGTTGCCAGACTATATACTTGGAGACTTATACCTCTAGCAGATTATTGATTTGTGGAAATGTAAGCCAAGTGGTAGCAAATGGCCTAAATTTTCAAGAGAAGCAGAGATCCTGTCTTGTGAAATCTATTAATTGTTTTTATTTATTTTAATTGGAGGATAATTATTTTACAATATTGTGATGGTTTTGCCATACATCAGCATGAGTAGGCCACAGGTATACATGTGTCCTCCCATCCCGAACCCCGCCTCCCACCTCCCTCCCCACCCCACCCCTCTGGGTTGTCACCGACGGCTTTGAGTGCCCTGCTTCATGCATCGAACTTGCACTGGCCATCTCTTTCACATGTGGTAATGTATTTGTCTCAGTGCTATTCTCTCAAATCATCCCACCCTCGCCTTCTCCCACTGAGTCCAGTGTTCACTACTAATTGACATTCAGAAAAAAAAAAATACTAACTAGGCCAAACAGAACATTTATCAATGGGTAAATGTTGGCTTGTGAATGTTGGTTTTGTGACATGTGGCCTACAGGATTACACATCAGCTTTTAGCCTGATACACGCTTTCACTCTTTAGCTTCACTTGTCAGTTTCCTATGGACTCTTTCTAGAGTTAAATTGTCTGTTCATATTCTCCTCACATGCCTTGCTCTTCCTCGACTTCAAGCTTTTGTTCACTCTTCTCCTGCCTGGAATTCCCTTCCTTTTCTTACAGTCTATCCCAATCCTACTCTCCTCTTATCAGCCTTTTTTTTTCTTTTTGAATTAGTTCTCACTGGAGTACAGTTGCCTTACAGTGTGGTGTTAGTTCCTGCCAAGAGCACAGTGCCTGAGCTGTATCTGTGCATATGTCCCCTCTGGCTTGGACTTCTTTCTGTTCAGGTCTCTGCGGTGATTGCATTACGTAGAGTTCCCAGTTCTATTCAGTCTGTCCTCATTAGGGATCTATTTTATACATAGCATCAGTATTAGGTAGTACATAGTACAGTATTATAGTGTAGTAGTATTAGGATCTGTCAACCCCAGTCTTCCGGCTCCTTCCACCCCTCACCCTTTCCCCCTTGGTGTCTGGATGTTTGTTCTCTATGTCCGTGTCTCTATTTCTCTTAGCAGCCCTTTCACATCTCACTTCCTCCATGGAAACTTCTCTCATCAGTGGGTTCTGAGCTGGCTCCCTTCATCTCCTCTGTCAGACTGTTAAAGATGGCACCATTTATCTGAGATTCAGATATTCTGCATCCTTGTCCTGAGTTGCTACTTATATATAATGTGTGTAAAACACTTCGTATTTTTGGCAGGTGGAAAGACCTCCACAAGTGTGAGCTCTCGTGTTTTCTGTTAGTATCTTATTTTTCCTCTCCAACTCTATTTATTGAAAGATCTTCAAGGGCAGAGGCTTGCCTCTTGTATTTTTTAAAGTGTCCAACCAGAGCCTTTACATGTAATAAGTATACAGCAAAATAGATATTTTAACCACACTAGGGCAAGGGACAATCATTTAAAATGAGAAAGTGTATTTTATGTGAAAAATTTCCCAAGTAAAATTATGAGTTTTTAAAATCCATGTTATGTACAAACCACTGATTTAGAGTTGAAAGGAAACTCGCTTTCATTCATTCTACAGAGGTTTTATCACCCAAGACAGCTCAAGATAGAACAGCTGTCTCTGCTGCCAAAGGGACAAATGTCAGTTTGCCAAATAAACTGGAGCAGAATGGGACTGGTGGGAAGAATATGAACCTTGAAAGGTAATGCACTGGGTATTTTTTTCTGTTGCATTTTACTAAATATATTTTCACACCCTATCTTGATGTAGGGAATTTTAAATAAGCATTCACTTTTTCATTCATTCCTTCATCCACTATTCCTGATGCTACATTCTAGCATCTAGCATACACCTGCATGCCAGGTGTATGAAGGTGATGAAGTGATGAAGGTGGTAACGATGACAAGCACTCACAACCTGTGGGAAAACCAGAGTAATAACTTACGGTTCAGTAGGATAAATGCTACCACGGAGGTGGAAACAAAACAGCACAGAGGAGAAAACATCTAACTTCCCTCATGAATTTGGGAAAACCTCTCTTGTTTTCTGTGTGTGGATATTATAATATGACACAGGTTCATGTTTAGATCAAATTGGAAAGCATTTTTGCCAAGCTTGGCTTTGTTGTTATTTAGTCATTAAGTTTGTGCGACTCTTTGCAACCCCATGGGCTGCAGCACACCAGGCTTCCCTGTCCTTCACCAACTCCCAGAGCCTGCTCAAACTCATGTCCACTGAGTCAGTGATGCCATCCAACCATCTCATCCTTTGTCGTTCCCTTCTCCTCCTACCTTCAGTTTTCCCCAGCATCAGGGTCTTTTCTAATGAGTCAATTTTTTTGCATCAGATGGCCAAAGTGTTGGAGCTTCAGCTTCAGCATCAGTCCTTTCAGTGAATATTCAGGGTTGATTTCCTTTGGGATTCTAATTACTAATTATTAGTGATTCCTAGTAAAGTTTTCTATAGAAGTTGACCAAACAACCAATGTTTTTTTCTTGTTTGTTTGTTTTTGTTTTGTGTGCTGATTACTAAAGTAATATGCATTTGTCAAAGAAATTTTGGAAGAAATGAGAAAAGCAAGAGATACAAAAACAATCACCCATAACCCCACCAAACAGAAGAAGTTTTCTGTAATGTTATGGGTGTATATCCTTCATTTCAATACATATATATTATAACATGGACATGTATTTATGCTTGAAACATGTACATATATTTTAAAGAAAACAGATGATATCATACGAACCTTTGCTATACTTAACAGTTTAAGTGGTGAAAATTTCCCTATGGCTTTAAATTTTCTAAAACATGAACAAATGATTGTTCATCTCATTATTAAACCTTTTGTTTAACAAATCTCCTGTATACGTAGATGATTTTTAGTTTTTTATAAATGTTGAAACAAATATAATCACATAATTCTTTGCATACACCTGCATATTCTGTAGGAAAGAAGCTTTAAAGTGAAATTTCAGAGATAAGTGATGAGTCCATTTTTCATGTTTTTGATATGCATTACCAATCATCTTCAGGGCTTCCAAAGTGGTGCTAGTTTTAAAGGACCCACCAGCCAAAGCAGGAGACGTAAGAGATGTGGGTTGGATCCCTGGGTCGGGAAGATCCCCTGGAGGAGGGCATGGCAACCTGCTCCAGTATTCTTGCCTGGAGAACCCCATGGACAGAGGGGCCTGGTGGAGTATAGTTCATGGGGCTGCAAAGAGTCGGACACAGCTGAAGTGACTTAGCATGCATGCACTATGCACCAGTTACCCTCAGGTAGATGATACCAAAAATTATCTTCCCAGTATCAGAAATAAGAAGCACTGCTGTGTTCTCTGTAGCTTTGCTAATACTGGATGTGGCTCCCATTCAATGGCTGCATTCTCAGTGGCTCCCTCTTCATTCTTCAGTGGCTCCCATCTCGCCCAGGGTGAAAGCTAAAGTCATTACCATGGCCTTCGATGTCTTGCCTGATCTCTGATCTCTCTCTCACTTCCTCCAGCCACACTGAACACAGACATGCTCCCACTTCAAGTCCTTACACTCATTTGCTCGACTAGATTCTTTTCCATCAGATATCTGATTATTATTATTCTTTTACTGCCTTCAAGTTGTTTAAATGCCACCTTTCTGGTGAGAACTTCCCTGGCCATTGTATTCATGATTTAATACTCCATTCTTCCAGCACTGCATGGTATTTATCACATCAAACAGACTATATAATTCATTCATCTTGTTTATTAACCGTCTACTCCCATCAGCATGTTAATTATTCCATGAGGACAGAGCTTTTTTTGTATGTGTATTTTGTTCTTCATTGCCTCTCCCATGCTGAGAGCAGCACACCTAGTAATCACTCAGTAAATTTTTGAAGAATGAGTAAGTTTTATCCCAGTTTCACTGAATTGGTAACGGAGACTTTGTACAATTATCCAGTTTGTCTAATGCCAGTCAACTTCTAATAAAGAAAGCTGGGTTTTGAACCCGAATTTATCTGATGTAAAGGTTAGGTTTTTAATCTCTATACATGTAGATACTCTAAAGAAAACTCCTGAGATATTTTTTATTTTCTTATATTTATGTGTGCATTCATGCTTAGTCACTTGAGTCACGTCTGACTCTTTGCAACCCTATGGACTGTAGACCACCGGACTCCTCTGTCCATGGGATTCTCCAGGCAAGGTCACTGAAATGGGTTGCCATGCCCTACTCCAGGGGATCTTCCCATCCCAGGGATTGAAGCTGCGTTTCTTATGTCTCCTGTATTGGTAGGCGAGTTCTTTACCACTAGTGCCACCTTGGAAGCCCTCTTATATTTATACTTGTTTCTAAAATTATCATTTATCATTGATTATAATTGATGTCAGGCTATATTAATGTTAATTAATGTTGCATTGTTTTTATAGTGTATTGCCTCCAGGTGGACTGAAAAATGATCATGAAATGAAGCCTAAAATTTCTCCAGGCACTTCTTGCAAGGACCATCATAGGGCAGGACAGGTACAGTGTCTTCAAAGAAACAGAGCCCAGACAGAGTCTCCTTCTGACTTATGCTTCTCAAAGAGAATTCGAGGAATTGCTCTTTCTTTAATACATGGGTATGGCTCAAGTACACAGGACCTATAATGGGACTGTGATAAACCTATGTACTAGTCAAAATCTATTAGTTAACAGAAATAGGTCTGGGAAATCTCTAATTTTCAGTTGCTTTAAACACATCTGTTCAAGTAAGAGTTGAATAAATCCTCTGGAATATTTGCAGGGCCCTCTCTGAAAAATCCCATTTGGATAATATCATGAATACATCCTTTTATGAAGTCTACTTCTTGACACCCTTAGCCTTTGGAGAGCTTGGGAAGGAAATGCAAAGCAAAATAAGTAAAAGGTAAAAATCAATTTGCCCTAAAACTCGATGTTATAGGAAATGTGTTATATATGCTTGCAACGAGCGCAGCGAAATTTCCCACTGTACTATACTGAGGAGAGGAGGAGGAGAGAGATGGAAGATGAGCGACTCATCCAGGAGTATCTAGTGTTGAAAGACCAAGAGACTATCTTCAAAGAGCAGGTACTTCTGCATCTCGGTTAAGGAGTGTTTAACATGGGGCAGGGGAACATGATTATCAAATGCCATTTAAAAAGCTCCAACGTGTAGCTTGACGGTAGTGTATTTAATCATTTACCTACTGCTGAATTCGAACTTAGATTATGTCCAAGTTTTCACTAATAGTAAACAACCCGGGGATGAATATCCAGGTAGTTGGTGTTTGCACCTGCTACTGATTTTTTCCCTCCCCCTAAGGACTGAGTTTTAAAGGTGGAATTCCTGGATGTATATGGCTTTATTTTTGATTTATCATAAAATATAACCTCAGGCAAGTCTTTTCCCTTCAGATCCATGGCCTATCTTGAGTTAAGATGGAATGGCACCTTCACCTGTGCTCTATCCTGATTTCTCAACTTTCAAATAACTGGCCCTACTGCCTTCTTGTGATATCATAGGGAACCATTCCTGAAATCTTCCTTCCTCCTTACAAGCTCTGTAGAAGTGGTGCCTAGAGTCCAAGAATGGGAAACAAAAGCCCACTTTAAAAAAAAAAATTGTAAACACATCAGAAAGTACCATTACCTCCCAAAGGCAGGTTTCTACCTTAGTTGGGTTATTTTAATGTAGTAGAATTAAATTTTTAAAGATTCTATTTCAACATGTAATGATTTTTTTTTTCAAAGATGAGAAGTATGGCTAGTAGAGAACAGAATCAAAAGAATGCCGCCTATAATCTTGGAGTTGCTGAAGCTATAAGAATCCACAAGAATGAGAAACCTGAATTTTATGTAAGAATCTTTTCAAAGCTTCTGTTGTTGACACCTGCCCTAGTTGTGAGCATTTGGGTCTACTCACATTGCATGTTGTGCCATTTTTAAAAGGTGGTAATGCTGAGCGAGGTTGAAGTGTCCTTCTAAGGCAGGAGTGGTCCAGAGTCTGTCTCCACACGTTCACGTTCACAATACAGCTCCTGTTGTTGGTCACTATGGTGCTTGTCAAGGATGGTAGTTCTCAGCTGGGACCTGGGAGAGGTGGGGTTAGGAGACAGTGTATTAAATTCCTGCCCCAGGATCAGATGATCTAAATAGAGAACAAATATCTCCTGGGAGCCTGCTGGAAATACAGAATCTAGGGTGCCACCTCACACCTCACAGAATGAGAATCTACATTTCAGTAAGATATTTAGGTGATTTGTAGCTTCCTTAAGTTTGAGAGGGGCTTTGCAGGTGGCTCAGTGGTAAAGAGCCTGCCTGCCCAATGTAAGAGATGCAGGTTCAACCTGTGGGTTTGGAAGATCCCCTGGAGGAGGGCATGGCAACCCACTCCAGTATTCTTGCTTGGAGAATTCTATGGACAGAGGAGCCTGGTAGGCTACAGTCCATGGGTTCGCAAAAGAGCTGGACATGACTGAAAGACTAAACAATAAGTTTGAGAAGTCCAGCTTCAGATGGAGGTGAGCCACCTGCCTTGCCATTAATTGTTTTCAATCATGATGTGCCTACCTTTATTTCTGCTTGTTCTTGCTTCTTTTTACCTCACTATCTAGGTAATGTGACACTCTGGATATACACTTAATAAAATAGATTTTATTTAACATCGAACATTTCATTGAATTATTTTGTGCTGGCCACTGTACTAGTAGCTAAGAATACAAAGATGAAGAATAAGACAAAGTCCCTCTCTAAAGACGTTTCAGGATAATGGGGGAAACAGATTTAAAGAGACAAGAGTGTGATAAACTAAATGCTATGATAAATCTTTGAACAGGGCAGAGAGGGGAGTCACTTAACCCAGACCAGAGATCTGGGAAGATTTCCTGGCATACAGGAGTTAGGTCAAGGAGTGAATGGAGGCAAAACCTTCTGGTCAGGGGCAGCAGGGAGTGAGGAAGAGAGAGCACCATGCTTTTGAGCTGTAGGCCCGATCGCTCTCTCCTCTTAGGTAGATTTAAGGTTCAGATTATATGTTTATCACTGCCCAATTTGAATCTCCTCTTTGTTATAACTGTAGATACTTAAAGTGAAAAAGATTGAAACAGAAGTTTCGATTCCCCTTCTCAACCTGTTCTTCTCCCAGCCTTCCCATTTTAGCAAGTGGCATCACCAGCCAGACAGTTGCACGAACCCTTACCTAAAGTGATCCCAGATCCCTTCTCCTCCGTCCCCCCTCATCCAGCCATCTTCAAGTCCACTTGCCTTCACCTCCAAAATGTATCCAGCCTCTCTTCACCTTCAACGGTACCCGACCCTAGCCCAAGCTGCATTTCTAGAAGGTCCAACTTTTGTGATGCTTTCCTAGTTAGGCTCGCTGCCTGCCTTCCTACAATCTAGTCTCCACATAGAAGCCAAAGTGATCTTTTAAAACTGGTCACCAGAACAGATCATTCTCCAAATAGAGCCTCTAATGGCCTTCCACTGAATTAAAATAAGTCTAAACCCCTGACCTTGACCTCTCACATCCCCCTGGTTTGGCCCACCTCTCTCTTTGAGCCCAGCTGCCGTGTTCTCCCCCTGCTCACTATGCCTCAGCCACGTAGACCTTCTTTCTGCTTGTTTTCATCTACTGTCTTTGCACTTGCTGTTCCTTCTCTATGGGTCCCTGATGTTTGCAGTGGAGGTGACCCAGTCCCACCTTAATAAAAGCCTTCCCTAATAACGTTAACCCCGTTCCCATCCAGTTACTTGCTGTGATAAAGAAGACCTCATAGCACCTTGTTGCTGTTCAGTCACTAAGTCATGTCCAACTCTTTTACAGCCCCAAGGACTGTAAGCCCACCAGGCCCCTCCGTCCATGGGATTCCCCAGGCAAGAATACTGGAGTGGAATGCCATTTCCTTCTCCAGGAGAATCTTCCTGACCCAGGGATGGAACCCGTGTCTTACGCATTGGCAGGTGGATTCTTTCCCATTGAGCCACGAGGAAGCCCTCATAGCACACATTAATATCTTAAATTATCTGTGCACTGTTGCTTGTTGACTGGCTGTCTCCGGCACCAGCATGTGGGATCAGTGAGAGTGAGGCTCTCTGTTGGTCTCTGTTCTTGGTCATGGCTGGGTTCCCAGTGTTGAGAGCGGCCAGGCCCAAGTAGGTGCTATATTCTTCTTCTTCCACCCTCTTGCATTCCTGCTGATGCTTCTGCACTCACTCAGAATTCCTTCGTCTTTCAGCACGAATGTGTAAGTACTAGTGGAGGATCTACTCCTTGAAGTCCTTTTTCATCTCCCTCTCAGTTATGGGGCTGTGGTCAGTACTATTCAGATGCATCCTTAAGCGTGGTAGTATTAATTTGTGGGTCACTAGCTATTTGCCACGTTGAATACTGGGCAAATATGATAACTTGATGTTTTCTGGTTGACTTTAGTCTTCCGAATGATTACCTTTATTCTTTGATGCTTTTTGGAGAAGGAAATGGCAGCCCACTCCAGTACTCTTGCCTGGAAATTCCCATGGACGGAGGAGCCTGGTAGGCTACAGTCCATGCGACTTCACTTTCACTTTCTTTGATGCTTTTTATGATTCTAGAACAAAGGAGTTGCTTCTCTTTCATTCTAGAAATCCTTCCTGTTTGATAAACGGCCACTCAGTCCTGAGATTAATGCTTTTAAGCAAGAGGAGTATTCCCAAAGTCTCCTGAGACAAATGGATCACAGACGGGAAAAGGACATAAAGCAAAGGCAAAACAGAGAGCTGATGGACCGCCTGGAACAAGTGCAGCTCACAGAGGAGTGAGTCTCTATAAAGACGGGTTTGGAACATTCATGGGACACGTCTTCCCCTGTAGGACCGAATCATTGCTGGTGGTCCCATTAGGAGAGCTGTGCACATTAACCCAGCCAGCAGCCGGGACCACGGCATAACCCTTCACTAGAAATGTGAAAAAGCCAGCATTATGATAACTATCATTATAGTAATGATGGCTGCTTATAATCATTTTGATCACAGTATCATTTTGTATTTTTAAGCGAGATATTATTATTTTAAAATTTTATTAATTTGGCTGCATCAGGTCTTTGTTGTGGTTTGTGGGCTTCTCTCTAGCTGTGGTGTGCAGGCTCTAGGGCCTGTAGACTCAGTAGCTGCAGCCTTAGCTGCCCCATGGCATTTGAGAATCTTACTTCCCTGACCAGGGATCCAACCTGCATCCCCTGCGTTGGAAGGCAGGTTCTTAATCACTAGACCACCAGGGAAGTCCCCATTTTGAACTGTTTTGTGGTTACTAATTCTTGTAGGTGGCGGAGAGGACTTGTCTTGAGCAGGCTTTGTTCCGTTATTCCCAGATGACCTCAAGGCGAAGCTGGATTTTATTATAACTAAGAAGGGGGGGGGGGTGGTCCTGTGGAACCCAATGGCAGAAATGTATGGGACACCCAGCAGGGCTGAAACCAAGGGTCTAAAATCCTTGTGAAAAATGCTTCCATCTGCTAATATCCACAGCTCCTGAGTTGACAGTGTCTGTATTCCAGTTGACACTTGGATGAATTTCAATCTCAATTCCAAATTTTTAGGAAAGAATCTGATTGGTCCTGCATGGGCTATCAGAGACCTAGGTTAGGGCCAGGGCCACAGAGTTCAAACATGTTAGAGGGGATACACTTCTGCTATAGAGAGGAATTAAGGAGGCTGCTGGGGTGAGAGAGACCTCCAAAACAAATAAGCAGCTAGATTCTGTGGCCAAAAAGCTGTTTTCCATAAAATGCATATGTTTTGTTATATTCACTTTACAGATCATGTGGAGGGGGCATAAAACAGGCACGTGTTACAATAGGAAGATCACTCTGAAAAAGGAATCCTGTGATTTTATTGTGTTACAGACATTTTCTGCTTTCCTATCTAGGTTTTTTAAGCAGGGATGGAGAAGGGGTGCTTGACTTGTTGGCAGTGCATTTGGAAAATATGGTTGGTCAGTTGCTTGTTCCCGACCTGTCTGTCCTTGTCTGCGGGCTTTCCCAGTGGCTCCGTGATAAGGAATCTGCCTGCAATGCAGGAGACCTGGGTTTGATCCCTGGGTTGGAAAGATCCCCTGGAGGAGGAAATGGCAACTCACTCCAGTGTTCTTGCCTGGAGAATCCCATGGTCAGAGGAACTGTGCGGGCTACAGTCCATGGGGTCGCAAAGAGTGGGACACAGATGAATGACTTAGCAACAGCAGCAGCTGTCCTAGTTTACTAGCCTATGGATTTGGATCACTCTTTTCTTTCTTAAAGTAAAAGTTCCTGGAAGGAAAAATATATCACTTTTTGTTTACCAGGTTCTTATTCCTATTAATATTTATTAAACACGTGTTGCTGATGTTAATCTGTGTTACAAAAGACTCTGTAACAAAACTGTGCCCTCATCTTTCCTTATTTGTAACTGCCAGGCTTGCTGCGCAAAGAGCCAAATATATAAAAGATAAGATGGAAGAAACACAGTGTTACAAGAGAGCTCTGGATGCCCAGGTAAGGGGACAATTATTAATTTAAAATTGTGCAGTGTTTCTGGCTGCTTTTGGTCCCCACAGATGGAGTAGTTGAAATCTGTAGAAATGAACTGCCAGGCTGGAAACATGACATATTTGGGGAAAAATTCTTAAACTGATTAATTAGCTGTAATACAGTTTTGTGCATTTATTGTACTGATGCTATAAATCCTGGACCTTGTGGGTATATCTGCCCCCAAATAAGTGTTCTCTCCCCTTTAATATTGCTGTAAAAAAAAGTGATGTCCATGTAGCACATTTAACTTTTTTAATGTTTCCCATATACACTGCAAACTACTGTAATTTACATGTGTTTCCTTGTTGTAAATAAGCTTCCCCTCCTATCCAGATTTGTGTGTGTGTGTGTGTTTTACCAATTAACTACTTTTGCAGTTTTATTCCTTTATTATTCTTCCTACTTTGTTTTGTGTAATAGGGAAAAAATAGAAAAGCTGGAATCCCCACCCTCCCCTAAAAAGGCGTGCAGTGTTTCAATAGCATTCTAAAAATATGTATGAATCCTGTAATGTTATGAATGCCCTTCTGTGTTATCCATTTGGTGTTTTTTGAGGCCCTTGTTCCTCCCGCCCAGGTGCTAGTTTTTGCTATGCCACGGCCTTGTGCCTGACGTCTAGTCCCTAGTATAACTATAATCTGCATTCTGTGTGTCCCTGCCTCAGATAAAGAATAGATGCCCTCAGCTGCCCGTGTTTGAGCCAGACTCTTCTAAGCCCATCTTTGGTAAGAATGAGGGTGAGATGATGGTGGAAAAGCGAAAGAGAGACCAGAATTACATGAAGCATCAGATGGAGGCCGCTGCTAACCACAAGAGGAGGGCCATCCTGCATCAGCTGGTGGACCAAAAGCGGGATTTGCTGATGCTTCAGAGGACACACACAGAGTGAGACCCCTGGCCCTTTCCTCCTCCTCCTCTCCTGCCCCCCAGAGAAGCCATCATGACAGTGAACACACTTAAGAGTTACCATGTGCAAAATATTGTTCTACGCTTATTATATGCTTTGCCTTGTTTCGTCCCTACAATTCAACCTATGGACAGAAGCTTTTAAATTAATAACAGACCCATTTAAAAGGAATATTATGTATACATGTTTCTATAAGCGTATATACATATATATAAAGTGATGTAAGATAACCAATAATGAATTCCAAATGCATTATCTTTTTCATACTCTTCTCCATTATGGCTTATTGTAAGATGCTGACTATAGTTCTCTTCCTGCTTTTCTATTTTATATATAGTAGTTTGTACCTGTTAATCCTAAACTCCTAATTTATCCATCTCCTACTCCATTTCCCTTTTGGTAACCATAAGTTTGGAGAAGTATCTGTTCGAGTCTCATACCCATTCTTATCACATTATTTATTTGCTCTATTTACTATTTTGTGTTGTTTGCTTTCTTACTGTAGAGTCTTAAAAACACTCTTTAATCTCCAAAATTTTTTTTTTAATTGAAGTACTTAGCATTCCATAGTTTTAAAAGCTTTCTGGTGATTCCATTGGGCAGCTAAGTTCACAGGTGACATCTAGGTCCTACAGGTTTGGTTAATAAGGATGTCCATTTAGAACTATGTATTACTTGGTTGAGGTTTCCCAGGAGGTTCAGTGGTGCAGAATCCACCAGCCAATGCAGGAGACACAGGTTCGATCCCTGGGTCAGAAAGATCCCCTGGAGAAGGCAATGGGGCTACCTACTCCAGTATTTTGGCCTGGGAAATCCAATGGACAGAGGAGCCTGGTGGGCTACAGTCCCATGGAGTCGCAAAGAATCGGGCACAACTTAGAGACTAAACAATAGCAACAAAGCCACAAACAAACTTTCTTGATCCTACTTCTCCCTCAAGTTAACTTTCCATGGTTTTCTTTCACTGTACCCGACAATGTCTGAAAAGAGTTGTCCACCCCAGCACTGTCCGTATGTGAGTCAAAAATGTGCTGTCCTGCTCAAGTGGACACAAAGATATGAAACTCAGATCCTTCCTCAACCTCCACTAAATCCCTTCTGCAGAGAACTGTGCATATAGTAAGCTGTGCTGATGTTTGCTGGTGCAGGGGTGCTGAAGGTGAGAACATTCTGGAAATCAGAGCTCTGAGCAAACATGAACTGTGGTCTTTACTTGGTCATCTCTTTGGTTAGAGCTCTGATCATAAACTTCCTTTTCTGTATGGGCCAGGTCCTTGTCTTCTGTTTCTATATCTTTTACTGATTATTCCAGTCTCTCTTACTTCTCTTTTCTTTTCCAACTGGCCCACCTTCAGTCCATCTCAAGATGTGAATTTAGGTCTTCCTGTGGCAAATAGGTCACTTTCTTTCAGAGAGAAATAATTTAGTCTGTGTGATCCAAAGATGCCTGCTGATGTAATTTTACTTGCTTTACATTTTTTTCTTTAAACTTTCCTGTTTTTGTTTTTAAAAAATATAACAATTCATACTCACTAAAATTATCAGTGAGTGCAGAGATTTTTTTTAAAAAGGCTAATAATCTCTCCTACCAAGTAGTCAGTGTTAAGATTAGCCTTCTACAATTTTTCCTATTTCTTTTACAAACATATTAAAAAAGGTACACATATATATTTTTCCTTCCATTTTGCAAATGAAAATGAGGTGTGTGAGATCTTATATATTACTCTACAACCCAACCTTTCTTTAACCTAATAATGTGCCATTAATTTGTATTTAGGTCAGTACATATATATAAAATTCATTTTTCTTTAATAACAGCATACTATCTATAATATATAATATGGCTTATATAGTTTAACTTTTGCACCATTGATGAACATTCACTTTATTTCCAGGTATTTTGCTATTACACCAATTCCACATTAAACACTTTTCTTATATATCTTTATACTGGTTGTTTTGTTTCTATTGGATAAATTCCTAAAAGTGGTGTTGCTGTTAGTGGGAATGTAAATTGGCACAACCACTATGGCAAACAGTGGTAGTTTCTCAAAAAAAATTAGAGTCATTGTTCAGTTCAGTTTAGTGGCTTAGTCGTGTCCAACTCTTTGCCACCCCAGGGACTGCAGCACGCCAGGCCTCCCTGTCCATCACCAACTCCCAGAGTTTATTCAAACTCATGTCCATTGAGTCGGTGATGCCATCCAGCCATCTCATCCTCTGTTGTCCCCTTCTCCTCCTGCCCTCAACCTTTACCAGCATCAGGGNATGTCCAGTTCTAACTGTTGCTTCTTGACCTGCATACAGGTTTCTCAAGAGGCAGGTCAGGTGGTCTGGTATTCCCATCTCTTTCAGAATTTTCCACAGTTTATTGTGATCCACATAGTCAAAGGCTTTTGTTGGCACAGTCAATAGAGCAGAAATAGATTTTTTCTGGAACTGTATGATTCCAGAATTCCACTTCTGTGTATATAACCAAAAGATTTGAAAGCATACACTTTCAGAGATATTTGCACACTTATGTTCATAGCAGCATTACTTATGATAGCCAAGAAATAGCAACCCAAATATCCAATCACAGATGAATGGATAAATAAGGTGTGGCATATACATACATGGAATATTATGCAACCTTAAAAAGAAAGTTCGACACATGCAACAATGTGGATGAACCTTGAGGATATTACGTTAAGTGAAATAAACCAGCCACACACACAAAAAAGGACACTGTATGACTCCATTTACATAAGGTAATTAGAGTAATAATTAGAGTAGTCTAATTCATGGAGACAAAGTAGAAGGATAGTTGACAGGGGCTGGGGGAGGGAAAAATAGGGAGTTGTTTAATGGGTTTAGAATTTCAATTTTGCAAGGTGAAAAAAGGTATTTTATATATGTTAGATATATTCCCACTGATTGCACAACAGTGGGAATACACTTAACACCATATATCTGTATGTTTAGAAATGGTTAAGAAAGTCAATTTTATGTGGTTTATTTTTTTACTGCAATTTAAAAAACTGAAAAGATAAAAAAGTTATGAAAAATGTATATAATAAGTACCATTCAGTCATTGAATTCCCATTGTGTGATAGGAACTGGCACTTTCTGTACATTATCCTACTTAATCTCCATAATGACCACACAATAGCTATTGAATCAACGCTTGTTAGAGGATAATGTGGCCATGCTATTTTAGAATAAGTGAACCAGCACAAAGCATGTGACAGGTTTTTATCAGCGGGTCCTGACACCTAGTGGTGGTTGGTACCTGTAACACAAAAGTCTTCAGAGCAGCAGGCTAAATCGATGGTCACATTCAGTGAAGTCCCTTCCAGAATTTAATGAGAACTGACTGTAAGAGTTTTAGCTTGGCAAGAAAGAGACACATTTATATAGAGGCCAGTTTAGGGTGACTCACAACAGCCGTGACTATGTGTTTGGAGATCAGCGGTAGAAACAACATTGGGAATGCTGGAACACTCTACTTAAAGGGAGATATTATACTGCACTCATTTCTTTGATGACGTGACCCTCATCAGACACTTTTTTTAAAGACCTACTTCACAATGTTGGATACGTTCTCCATTCACTTTCTTTTGCCTAGTCATTTGTTTCCCTCCTTTTTTAACCATTCATTTGTATGCCTGTCTACATTGTCTTGTAAAACTGGAAGAACTGGTGGGCCGACAACTGACAGCTGAGAGTCTAGACTGAAAGGAAAAAAACAAAGTATGGGAAACCATGTGAGATGAATCTTCAGATCAGCAAAATTAGCCTCAAAGGAAGTAGATGGCTTTAAAAGCTGAATTTAATTGGAAAGAGGTTTTAATACTACTAGTTTAAACCCAGATTGACGATGAAAGGCCTTAGATCCATAAATTATTTGCAGGAGTTTCACCATGTTTTTACAGTGTTCATGTCTCTTATTAGGTCTGTTTCAAAGGGTGGGGAACAAAACCAGGAAGTTGTCTGTTTAACTTAGAATAAAAGGAATGGGGCTCCTAAGGCTGGTGCCTTTCCCAGTATTACGAATGGAATCAGACTGTTCTGTTCTCTCTAGGCACTTGGCAGACAGAAATGCTGAGCTTGAGCGAGTGAACAGAATCAACCAAAGCTTACAGGACGATTGGGAGAGGAGTGCTGTCATGAAGAAGCAGCGAGACTTGGAGGAGAAGGCTTTTGAGAGGTAATACCTGATTGCACCTGAAGTTTTATTTGCAAAGCCAATCCCCTCTGCATCTTGTTTAGTTCCTGATAATCCTGGGATGACAGATAGGTTTTAAGTGTCAACTTCAGTTTTCTAGCTTTGACTGCCTAGAGAGCTTAGTGAGGAGGAAAGAATTCTGGGTTCAGTGGGAAGTACTGCTGTGGCCTGGGATGGAGACTGCTATGTTGTATGCTATATGTTTGCCACCTTTGTCTTGATCTTTGCCTCTGTGTAACAGGTTCGTTTTCTTTTTGTGGAGGCTAGGGAGGCCTGGGGAGAGGGGAGGAGGGGGGAAATTCTCTTTGGAAATATTTAGCTGGAAATAGGAATAGAGAGTTTCTGCCTGAACACATGTTAGGCTTATGGAATGGTCTCATAAGAACAGAGTCAAGGGGTTGTGGTACACTGGCAATCAGAAAAGTGAGATGCCCAGCCAAGAACACCCTCCTGAAATGTATTATATTCCTGCTCACTCTTCCCTGCTATCTATCTACAATCTAGAGTCAGGGAATCTAGATGTTTTTAAGAATTAACACTAACTTTGGAGAGGCAGCTAATACTTTTTGCCTTATTTTTTCTTATTTCTAAGGTGGGGAAATTAAACATTTGCCTGGCTTGGCTAATACAAGAATTTGGGGGATCAAATAAAGAGATAGAAAATCATTATACTTTAAAAATTGAAAATGTTTTACACATGTAAGGTACGATTTCATAGAATGTTAAAAACTTGAAGAAACAAAGTCTATACAATCAAACATTACAAAAACCTGAAAATACCGAAGTAACATTCAATTGCTAATTATCAACAGTTTTATCATAAAAAATTGTTACAGTGGATCTTGATCTGTAACTAACCTTTTCCTTTTAGATTTTAAGGCATTCCTCACCTATCTTTTTAATGGGCAGAACCCATATTTTGTGACAATGAAAGTATGAGGGATGATGTGGAAAACAGATTTCAAAGAAGTGGGATTGTGTGGCCTAGAGAAGAGGAAGAGAAAGGGAAGTTGGATATTTTAAACCATTTTCTTAATGTTGTGAAAAAGCAGGTAAAAGGCAATGAGATTAGTGTCAGGGGGATTTTAGTTCGATTTTGGGAGAAGGCTTGGCTAATGTCGCGATAAAGGATAGCGACACAACATATACTTGAGTCAAGATGGCCTGACTTCTCCATGGACACAGCAAAATGGACCTTTCACCTGAAGACACAGGCCAAACTGTGGGCAGGGCCTCAAGTGGACAGCAGACAGGGAGGAGGAATTGGTTGTTGTTAAAAAGAAAACAAAGTAAAAGCAAACTTAAGGTTCATGTGTATGCAGTTGGCTTCCCTGATAGCTCAGTTGGTAAAAAACCTACCTGCAACCGGTTTGATTCCTGGATCGGGAAGATCCCCTGGAGAAGGGAACCACTGCAGTATTCTGGCCTGGAGAATTCCATGGACTGTATGATCCATGGGGTCGCAAAGAGTTGGACACTACTGAGAGACTTTCACTTTCACTTTGTATGCAGTTAGCTTGTGATACTCCTTCCTATCCCCAAAGGAAGCCAGGTAGGTCTCCCCTGCCAATTGACAAGGCCGTCTTTTTTTTCCTTTGAGGATTATCATTGATTTTTTTTTTTTTTTACAGAATCCCACCGTACAGGAATTTTGATAGGGTAGGGGGGAACACCATGGGGACTGTCCTACATCATGGAGGAAAATGGCTTAAGTGGAAAAGCAGCCACTGCCATCCCTTCATCTCTGCTTCCAACTGCTTTTGTCCTCTTTCTCTGTCTCCACGTCCTCTCCTGCCCTCCACTCTCCAGAGGCTCCTGGCCCTCTGGGTCTTTTCACTGAAATCTAGTCTTCCCTGTCTTCACTGTTTGCTGATAACCAGCAACTCANAGGAAAATGGCTTAAGTGGAAAAGCAGCCACTGCCATCCCTTCATCTCTGCTTCCAACTGCTTTTGTCCTCTTTCTCTGTCTCCACGTCCTCTCCTGCCCTCCACTCTCCAGAGGCTCCTGGCCCTCTGGGTCTTTTCACTGAAATCTAGTCTTCCCTGTCTTCACTGTTTGCTGATAACCAGCAACTCAATGACTTGATCTTCTCTCAAAAGCTGTTTCCTGGGAAGCTCGACAGGTTAAGGCCCCACACAGAGCCAACAGCAAACACCAAAGCTCTGGAGTTTCCCATTGGCGCTGACTGTGTGACTCCGGGGCCTGTGTCCTCTGAGGGTTTAGATTGGGTGAGGGGCGAGGACTTGGGGTCAGACAGGAAGGTACCACTCAGAGCCTGTTACTGACCCGGAAGGAGATGCGGGAGATGCCCTTCCTGGGGTGACCAGCAGGTGGCAGCGCGGGGGACCACGGATGGACCGGAAGTTCCCGGAGGGCAGGGTCCCTGCGCTGCTCTTGCACGCAGTCCTGGGTGCCGCTTCCAGGCGAGGCATGCAGCAAGGACTCAGGGGGCGCTGGCTTACGACTGCTCTTCCTCCGTCTCTGCAGGGCCTCCGACAAGCTCTTCCTGCTGGACCAATGTGAGAAGTACCGGCGCTGCAAGCAGTGCCAGAGGCGCACCTCCAACAGGGGCGAGAGCAACCTGTGGCCCCTGAACAAGTACATGCACGGCTCCAGGCTGTTTGTATAAAACCCAGGGTCTGGGCCTGCTGGGGAAAGTCCTTTTTTTTTTTTTTAAGGGTGATGGTAAAACTTCATATTTTTACTTTAGAGGGGAAAAAAAAAAAAGAATTACTGTGCCACTCTGGTGCTTTTCGGAGTAGATCAGATTCCTATAGACAGCTTCTCCCTGCCTGTCTCCCTCCCAACCCGCCTCAGGCCCCCAAGGAGCCTGGACTGGGAAATGGAACCCCGCTTCACTGTGGTTGAGAGGGGTGCTGACCCAACCCACCACCCCCTCTGTGACTTTGTCTAGGAGCCTTTATTTTTCTTCACCTATAACGAAGAGTGTCATAATAAATACTTTCTATGAGTCTTGACTGCAGAACAATTCGTGATGGTGAATCATAGCCCGCCTCCCCCAGCCCTAGATTTTCCCAAGGCTGGAAATGTGTGAACCTCCCAAAGGCAGGCCAGGCTGTTTGCCTCAGGTGGTCATAGCAATGCTTCTGGAGTTTTCTAGTTGAGGACACACCTGGGACTTGTTGGGATCTCAGGGATATTTTTCCCTTGGTGAGCTTCTGGACAACCATTCCACCATTCTGCCCATTTCTGCACCACTACTGACTGTAGGTTTATTGTTTGGATAAGTGAATACTGTGAGGGGAGCCTGGCTGGCTTGCCAGGGTCCACTTTCTTCTCTCATTGCATCCAATCTTTTTTTTTTTAATTACTTTTTTTATTGGAGTATAATTGCTTTACAGTATTGTTAGTTTCTACTAACACAAAGTGTTATCAGACACACATATATGTATGTATATGTCCCCTTCTCTCTTGAGCCTCCCTCCCACACCCCCACCCCACCCCTCTAGGTCATCACAGAGCCCTGAGCTGAGCTCCCTGTGCTATAGAGCAGCTTCCTGCTAGCTGTCTATTTTACACATAGTAGTATATTTGTCAATGCTACTCAATTCATCCCACCCTCTCTTACCCTCCCTGTATTCATCAATCTGTTCTCTATATCTGCATCTCTATTCCTGCCCTGCAAATAGGTTCATCAGTACCATTTTTCTAGATTCCGTGTATACCTGGCATCCATTCTTAAGCTGTACGTGCTATGGGTGAGGAAGAGCTTTGTGCTGAGGGACTGATTTTCAGTTAAGGTATATGTGCTCTTTTTAAAAAATACTTTCTTTTTTAAAAAATTAAAATTTACTTGCTTTTAATTGGAGGGTAATTGCTTTACAATATTGTGTTGGTTTCTGCCAAATATCAACAAGAATCAGCCATAGGTATACATATGTCCCCTCCTCCTTGAACCTCCCTTTCACCTCCTATGGTTTGTGTGTTCTTAACCAAAACTTTTTTCATTTATCTTTACCCTTTGGCTTTCCTCTCCCTGCCCTGTCCTACCACTTCAGGTGAAACAATTAACAAAGCAGAGCAATGTCTGGATTTCTGATATGTTAAAGCGAGGCCGAAAGTCCCTTAGACACTCTGCTTTCTGCCCGCAGCGTTTTTCTTAGAAAGAAACATGTGGGGAGACACTAAGAACATTGTGCCTTCCTGGTGGCTCAGTGGTAAAGAATCCGCCTGCCAACGCAGGGGACGTGGGTTTGATCCCTGGGTCAGGAAGATCCCCTGGAGGAGGAAATGGCAACCCACTCCACTGTTCTTGCCTGAGAAATCCCATGGACAGAAGAGCCTGGCGGGATACAGTCCATGGGGTCACAAAGAATCAGACATAACTAAGTGACTAAACAACAACAATCTACAACATTGTTTGCCCTACTCCAAATACAAAACGGGAACGTTTTGAGCCTTGAATAATTAAGGGGAAAGTATTTATGTAATTAAATTGATATTGGGCAAATTTTGTTGCTGATGTTATCTTTTTCTATCGAAACAAGTATGCTCTCTGGTGATTGGAACTGTCTGAAGCTCTCTCCTCCCACATCCTGTATTAACCTCTTATTCCATTTCCCCAGAAGACCCCTCCATGGGGGTTCCATTATCCTCAATATTTGAAACAATAGCCTGTCCCCAGGACTGCTTGACTTGCTTGAAAAACCCATCCCGGCCACACCCTTGAAGTACTTCTGTCTCTAATAAATAATAAATTCCTATAATAGTGTTGTATGAATATATATATATATATATGTATATATATATATATATATATATAGCCTTGTTAAAGACAAAAAGACTTTAGGCGATTTTGATATGTTTAGGTGAAAAGATTTAAATTCATAGATATTTTTACTGTAGGAACTGAACTTATAATTTTTTTTTTAAAGTATTTATTTATTTTGACTGCATTGGGTCTTAGTTGAAGTATACAGGATCTTCTAGTTGTGAACCATGGGATCTAGTTCCCTGGCCAGGGACTGAACCTGGACTCCCTGCATTGGGAATGTGTGTCTTAGCCACTGGACCACCAGGGAAATCCCTGAACTTATAATGTGTTACCCTGGGTAGCAGTACTGATTCTCAGTCTGTGTCAAGCACCAAGCTAGTGATCTGGAGATTAAGACCTCTTCAGTCCTTGCCTGCCTTGGGAGCACTCACAGTGTAGTGCAGAGATGTGACTTGGAAAATCTCCCTGTAACAAAGCAGATACCTAATAGTGCTGTGCATTGCTTGTTTTGGAAAAGCAAGGTAGAACCCTTGAGTCAGGTTAGCTTGACAGGGAAAGCTTTTGAAAGAGATGAGGCCTGAGCTGAGTTTTTAAGGAGAAATAGGAAATAGCTAGGTAAAGATTGACAAGGAGTCATGACAACAGATGTCAAGGCCCTATGCTCCTCTCTGTTGGGACCAAGATGGAGAAGTGGTTACGTGAGCTAGGTTATAAAAGCTAATTTTTAAAAATCACTCAGTCATTTTAAGAATCAAATTTTTTTGATGTTCATGAACTTTAAAAAAATTTTATTTGGATGATAGTTGCTTTACAAGGTTGTATTGGTTTCTGCCACA